TTCCACTTGGCTGTCTTTTGGTGCAACCAAATTTCCTTTACTTGACCTGTAATCCTAAACCGCCTAATGTAAGTTACCCCACAAATCCCCCTCTTAACGTAAAGAGTCTCTTTTGCCTAAAAAGCATAGAAGTCTGTCTGACCCTAAGAGTTTCCCATCTATTGACTGATGCTATGTCTTTTCCAGTGCGCCAGTTACTGCAGAATGGATTCAGCCCTAATCTGTTTAACGAGGACGGTCTGACGGCGCTGCATCAGGTGAGCTCTTTATTTACTTTACATAATGTGAAAGGTGCTATCATACACCACGTTGATTTCTGTACTCATTGCATTTAGCCTGGTTTTCTGGGTTGAGGGTGCATTCAGAGCGGCCATGTTTATTGTACCTCACTATTTTACAGTGTTCCCTGACAGCCATGCATTATTCATATTCTCAATAACTAGCACATTAAATGCTAAAACTGTATTAATTACACTTGTAGCGGAGAGCAGTGGTAGCAGGGTTTCTTCACCGCTGGTTACTCCAACAGCTACTCAGGAACAAGCTGGAATCTTCAGGACAGCAGGCATAATAATATATTCCATCACCCTTCCCAAAAACTGGACGACACAGTGTTAGGAGCAGAACTGAACTTTTAATGGCCAGGCTGGCCTTTTATGCAGGTTTTGCCCCAAAGGTTATCACCCAGTTGGACTTTGTGGGGCACTGATAAAAATATACATCCACCAATAAACACAGAGTCAGGTCGTAAGACACTCCCATACATTACACACATTCCCTCCCCTCTGCTCAAGGGATAATTGAGTTAATTACGGTATCAACTCAATTATCCCAAAACCGAAAAATCATACTTTTTCATACTTTTCTGGAAATACCCCCAAAACATATACTACATTCATAATTCCAACATCCCCTGATAGCCCCAATCTGGGGGAGCAACATACTGAAAAATCACCCAGATTGGTTCAGGGGTTCGAGAGTTTTATGGAGGTTTTAGTTTTACTGACCGCACACGAGGCCGAGAATAGTTTCCATGAGTTTTGGGTGTGCGGTCAGTCTCCGTTCGGGAGGTTAAAATGCATGAAAATGGTTTGTGTCTTTGTTCGTTTAATTCTTCTCGTTCGTATGGTTCTTTTTACCAAACTCTGCTCTGTTCCCTTGAGTTCCCACGAACTTATGAGAGGATGGAAGTCTCTGCGGTGTTTTGGGTTCCAGACACTCAACAACCAAACACCACTGGTGCAATTCGTATGCTAAGATGGCCGCCGCCACGTGTTCGTATGACGAACCACTGCCACTCAGGGAACACCCGGTTAGTTTGTGCAGTTGGCAATTTAAATAGTGTGAACCAAGTTAGGGAGGTCAATTGAGTCCACGCTCCTCTCCTGGGTGGCCTGGCGGTTCGGTAGTTGGTTTGTTTGTCGAACCATATGGTGAAAAATAGCTGAAACAGGATTCTTACCGAACAACCAGACGAATGAGAGCCAATATTACATTGTCACTTGTTTCTACAAGTAACCAACAGGGAAGGTAACTAGGAATGTGCATGGGGAAAATTTTCGGTTCGGCATTCCGAAATTCAGGACTTGGGCAATTCGTTAACTTTGGAATTTCTGAACTTCGGCATTTCGGGACTTCTCTTGCAGCCGCTTAGTAGATAACTCCCTAATTCTCACGGTATTAGGGAGTTATCTACCAAAAGGCTGAAAAACCTAAATTGGTCTTTCAGCCACATTTACTAATGCTAAGTAAAAATTACTTAATTTCTTTGCCCCTACTCGCCCTGTATACTGTGTGATTATGGGGTAAGGCAGGTTATTACCCAGAATCCCTGGCTGCAGGGGGCGCTCTGTATACTGTGTGATTATGGGATAAGGTAGGTATTACCCAGAATCCCTGGCTGCAGGGGGCGCTCTGTATACTGTGGGATTATAGGGTAATGCGGGTTATTACCCAGAATCCCTGGCTGCAGGGTAAGCTCTGTATACCGTGTGATTATGGGATAAGGTAGGTATTACCCAGAAACCCTGGCTGCAGGGGGCGCTCTGTATACTGTGGGATTATAGGGTAATGCAGGTTACTACCCATAATCCCTGGCTGCATGGTGCGCTCTGTATACTGTGATTATGGGGTACGGCGGGTTATTACCCAGAATCCCTGGCTGCAGGGGGCACTCTGTATACTGTGTGATTATGGGGTAAGGCAGGTTATTACCCAGAATCCCTGGCTGCAGGGGGCGCTCTGTATACTGTGTGATTATGGTGTAAGGCGGGTTATTACCCAGAATCCCTGGCTGCAGGGGGCGCTCTGTATACTGTGTGATTATGGGGTACGGCGGGTTATTACCCAGAATCCCTGGCTGCAGAGGGCACTCTGTATGCCGTGTGATTATGGGGTAAGGCAGGTTATTACCCAGAATCCCTGGCTGCAGGGGGCGCTCTGTATACTGTGTGATTATGGGGTAAGGTAGGTATTACCCAGAATCCCTGGCTGCAGGGGGCGCTCTGTATACTGTGGGATTATAGGGTAATGCGGGTTATTACCCAGAATCCCTGGCTGCAGGGTAAGCTCTGTATACCGTGTGATTATGGGGTAAGGTAGGTATTACCCAGAAACCCTGGCTGCAGGGGGCGCTCTGTATACTGTGGGATTATAGGGTAATGCAGGTTACTACCCATAATCCCTGGCTGCATGGTGCGCTCTGTATACTGTGATTATGGGGTACGGCGGGTTATTACCCAGAATCCCTGGCTGCAGGGGGCACTCTGTACACTGTGTGATTATGGGGTAAGGCAGGTTATTACCCAGAATCCCTGGCTGCAGGGGGCGCTCTGTATACTGTGTGATTATGGTGTAAGGCGGGTTATTACCCAGAATCCCTGGCTGCAGGGGGCGCTCTGTATACTGTGTGATTATGGGGTACGGCGGGTTATTACCCAGAATCCCTGGCTGCAGAGGGCACTCTGTATGCCGTGTGATTATGGGGTAAGGCAGGTTATTACCCAGAATCCCTGGCTGCAGGGGGCGCTCTGTATACTGTGTGATTATGGGGTAAGGTAGGTATTACCCAGAATCCCTGGATGCAGGGGGCGCTCTGTATACTGTGTGATTATGGTGTAAGGCGGGTTATTACCCAGAATCCCTGGCTGCAGAGGGCGCTCTGTATGCCGTGTGATTATGGGGTAAGGCAGGTTATTACCCAGAATCCCTGGCTGCAGGGGGCGCTCTGTATGCCGTGTGATTATGGGGTAAGGCAGGTTATTACCCAGAATCCCTGGCTGCAGGGGGCTTCTGTATACCGTATGATTATGGTGGCGGGTTATTACCCAGAATCCCTGGCTGCAGGGGGCGCTCAGCGTGTGGTGATGGGGTAAGGCGGGTTATTACCCAGAATCCCTGGCTGCAGGGGGAGCTCTGTATACTGTGTGATTATGGGGTAAGGCGGGTTATTACCCAGAATCCCTGGCTGCAGGGGAAGCTCTGTATACTGTGTGATTATGGGGTAAGGCGGGTTATTACCCAGAATCCCTGGCTGCAGGGGAGCTCTGTATACTGTGTGATTATGGGGTAAGGCTGGTTATTACCCAGAACCCCTGGCTGCAGGGGGAGCTCTGTATACTGTGTGATTATGGGGTAAGGCTGGTTATTACCCAGAACCCCTGGCTGCAGGGGGAGCTCTGTATACTGTGTGATTATGGGGTAAGGCTGGTTATTACCCAGAATCCCTGGCTGCAGGGGAAGCTCTGTATACTGTGTGATTATGGGGTAAGGTGGGTTATTACCCAGAATCCCTGGCTGCAGGGGAAGCTCTGTATACCGTGTGATTATGGGCTAAGGCGACATACCCAGGAATCCCCTGGCTGCAGGGGGCTCTGTATACTGTGTGATTATGGGGTAAGGGCGGTTATTACCCAGAATACCCATGTAGAGGGCTTGTATGCCGGTGATTATGGGGTAGCGCAGGTTATTACCCAGAATCCTGGCTGCAGGGGGCGCTCTGTATGCCGTGTGATTATGGGGTAAGGCGGGTTATTACCCAGAATCCCTGGCTGCAGGGGGCGCTCTGTATACCGTGTGATTATGGGGTAGGGCGGGTTATTACCCAGAATCCCTGGCTGCAGGGGGCGCTCTGTATACCGTGTGATTATGGGGTAAGGCGGGTTATTACCCAGAATCCCTGGCTGCAGGGGGTGCTCTGTATACTGTGTGATTATGGGGTAAGGCGGGTTATTACCCAGAATCCGTGGCTGCAGGGGGAGCTCTGTATACTGTGTGATTATGGGGTAAGGCGGGTTATTACCCAGAACCCCTGGCTGCAGGGGAGCTCTGTATACTGTGTGATTATGGGGTAAGGCGGGTTATTACCCAGAATCCCTGGCTGCAGGGGGCGTATACAGGGGGGCGCTCTTTATACCGTGTGATTATGGGGTAAGGCGGGTTATTACCCAGAATCCCTGGCTGCAGGGGGAGCTCTGTATACCGTGTGATTATGGGGTAAGGCGGGTTATTACCCAGAATCCCTAGCTGCAGGGGGAGCTCTGTATACCGTGTGATTATGGGGTAAGGCGGGTTATTACCCAGAATCCCTGGCTGCAGGGGGAGCTCTGTATACCGTGTGATTATGGGGTAAGACGGGTTATTACCCAGAATCCCTGGCTGCAGG